TAACCCAGCAGTAGCAGTGATGTGCCAAGTTCAGCTGATCTGCTTTGAAAGCTTATTAGTTGCATCAGATAATTGCTCTGAAGCGAACAATGGCATGTGCATTCCCAGTGGAACAGGAAAAAGCAAGCTAGAACTTTCTCTTGGCTCCACTCACCAGCCTGTACCAGGCCTTGGGAAAAGTTCTGGCATTGTAAAAAGAGGACCAACAGCCGGGCTTGCTCTTCATTCCCTGCTCTTCACTGCCAGTTGCTATCTGGACTTTAGGAACTTATTCCAGTGCTTGGAACAGGGGCTTATTATATTAGGCTGCTCATTAAATCAAAGTTTGTTTTCACATGCAAGGCTGATGAACTTGTTGTGCTGCTGTCTCCAGTCATGTAATGTTGAAGCCTACACTGGCGAGAACGTGCCATGGCATTATCTTCTGCATTCCATACAGAGGGGCTGATCTCTGGGTCCAAGTCCAGCTTTCCTGCAGTCCCAATCCAGCCAATCCTCTAAGGTGACCGTACACCACTCCCCTGGACTTGCCCCTTTTCTCCCAAATACTTTGGTGGTTTCCCAGCTTTTATGCATTTGCCCCTCCATTCCAAAAAGCTGAAATACCTCTGGGTTTCATGACTGGTGATAAGAGCTTCAAACTAAAATATCCGGGCACCTTCTACGTTTTTGGCCCCCCTTCTTTAGCCTTTAACCCACCCGCAACTGGGATGGGGCCCCAAGAGCTTCTCTGGAATGGAATTTGGCTTTCAGGCAGAAGGACGTTCCTGACCTCTGACCTTCACATGACAACAAATACTATGTGAAAAGTTCAGGTTTCTTATTAAAAGAGCCACAGAATTAACAAACCATCTGCTCAGCAATTTGTTTGTATTTACTATTTAGTCATGCAGTAAATGATGTACAGAATCAGCATGCAATGTGCATCATATTTTGCATCAGAGGACAGGGTCTACCATTTGAATGTTGCCAGTGCAGATCTGTCTGAGATTTTCCAAACCATGCAATTTGGCCTCATCGCTAACATAAAGTTGACTGTAACCAGTATTTGAACTGTGTTGGTGTGTGCATGTGTGTAGCAAGCAGAGACGCTTGCAGAAGCAGTGCATGAGGTGCTTATTGTAAAACAAGAACACGAAAGGGGATGTGATAGTGGCCATGCATTGCATCTGGAAGCCTTCTGTGGTGCACAACTGCTATAGCCATCAGATCATCCTTTAGTTATCAGTGCAGCTTCACAAGCTCAATATATAACCCATTTTAAGAGCTTTTCCAGACTACCAGTTTATAGCACAAAACATCTGCAGTTACGAGTATTGCTCTCATATTTCACATATCCTAAAATCTTCCCTCATATACACAGAGTGCTTTCTCAGCGACATTATATCAGTAGGTTGTCACCTGGAATGTGTGACTATATTCCCCAAGTTGGCACTTCCTGTCCAGTTGCAAGCACGGTGTGAAATATGATTGCCATGCATCCCCTTGCAATAATACCTAGAATATCACAAAGAGTGAATATAAACACACCATTTTTCTTTTTTTCTGCTCTTGACTGAAGAAGGAAGCACTCCACAGTACTCAAAAAGCTTATTTTATTATACTGGTTAGAGATGTGCAATGTGGAATTCTGGTTTTAATAAGCAGTTACAAGAAAATTTCTGTATAGGGCAAGGAATACAGCCAGGAAAAAGCAAACACAATGTGCTATGAATATCATTGTATAAGGTGGCTCTATTCTAAATACTTTAGGAAAAACAGGGAAATTGTCATCTCATGAAAGCAAATAACCTGGTGATGTGTTAGTGGAAACTCTGATTACTAACAACTTGGCAAAAACATTTTGTTCCCTTGCCATTGTTGCCATTTGCATAATATCTGAAAAATATCACTAATGAGTACCTGCATAAGCAGTTATATGTGATTTATAATGTCAGGACTTGGGAATAATGGAACCATTTATGTATTTCCAAAACATGTCACTAGTTTTAGGATTATTGTAACCAATCAGACTAACATAGTTCACAGTTTCAGGGTAAAAAAAATGCTTTTAGAAAAGAAGCTGATTAGGAGACATAAAGCACAGTGGTCTATGGTTGTGTGGACTCATAGGAGAAAATGCTGGTTACATGAAGTTTGTGATCCACTCTTCAATCCAGAAGTAACTGGACTCATTTGTTTCCAAGCTTCTCTTCCTTTCAGTTTCCCATTTAGTGTCAAGATACTATGTGATTATTGTTACTCAGCATGAATACAGGGCCTTTAGGTCTCATGCTATTACAGCAAATATTGGAAAAGCAAGAATGTATGTCAAAAGCATATACAATATGCTTTGTCGCTTTGAAAGAAAATTAAGATATGTAAGAAGGAAAAGTAGGAATTAGGGTCCGCATAGTTGATACATATATAAAGAAACATAGACTTGTGTCTCATTGGATGGGGCCTTGCTATGAATTCTTTTAAGAAAGAATCTTCCAGGAGGGAGGGAGGGGATAGAGCATTGCTGAAAAAGAAACTAAATGATTGAATCTTCTATTGGATTTAAAACAATGCTTGCCATTTCTATATTGACATTCAAAAGATATTTTCAAGGTATATGGCCTCCCACCAATGCCTGTAAAATTGTATTTTCAATACTGCCCTGACAGAAAATAGGACAAGGAAATGTTTCAAGAAGCTTGCCCAAAGGATCCTGAACAAACAGCCTGCAGTGTGATGGAAATATGCCTGGCTACAGGCAAAAATCCTAGTTATACAGAGTAAAGAGAACTTTGTTGTTTTCAAGATATTTGTATATAATAACTTGCAGCTCTTGTAACTACTGTTTAACAAGCTAGTTTCCAATCTTATTCCTACTTACAAGTAAGCCCACTAAAAGGAGTAAGAGTTAAAATAAACCTACTGCAGGAAACTAAGGTTGGACTAATATTGGATACTACTTCAAGAATAAAAACTTACTAAAAACTTATTGGAATTGCTAGAAGACAAGAATGATCAGCTCTCTTTCAAGGTAAACTGTATTATGCGTCTCTTTTGGATCAGAAATGGTAAAGTTTGTAAAACCTTATGCTTGTAATAAGAATTCCCCAATAAGATGTAAACAGAAATCCACAAAAACTGTGCTATCATGCATAGGTCCTTGACCAAATTGACATGTATGCGAGTAGCCATGGCAAAGAAACATGCTATCTACTAGGAGCCAGTAACAGAAACAACATTTTATGCATAAACTGCAATCATTTATAGGTTCTTAGTGGATTATTATTTGCCTTTATATCCGGTGGTTCCTTCTTCTGGAAAGGAACCCAGGGGGCTTACAAGGCTCTTTCCATTTTATCCTCAGAACAACAACCCTGTGAGGTAGATTAGGCTGCGAGGGAGTGACTGGCCCAAAGCCACCCTGTAAGCTTCATGGCCCAGCGGAAAGGAAACCTCAATCCCAACACATTCAGGTACTGATATGATTCTACCTGCAAAAACCTAAGCCAGAAAATCTAGGGGCAAAGTGACTTTTTTACATTAAAATTCTGAAGTATACAGGTAACAGTTCTGAACTGGGGTGTAGATGCATTTCATGATCTGATGGAAGATGTGCTTGTAATGGATAATGTGAAGCTACTAGGTGTTATAATCAGCTAGACCAGGGGTCCTCAAACTTTTTCAACGGGGGCCAGTTGAAAGGTGCTGGGGCATGGGCCGACAAGGCAGTGCCAGCGGGGGGCACAGGCCGGGGGTGGGGGGGCACATGCACGCGGTGAGGTGAGATGGGGGTGGGCACAGGCGGTGAGCGTGCACGGCGAGGCAGCAGCTTGCTTGCATGGAGATCGTTTTCTCTGAGCGAGTCCAAAACAATCTCTGAGCAAGCTGCCAGCTTGGTGTGCGTGTGTGTGTGGCAAGTCCAGAACCTCTGAGGTGGGCCGGGTAAATGGGCATGGTGGGCTGGATCCAGCCCGCGGGCTGTAGTTTGAGGACCCATGGGCTAGACTATGCTTTGATCGACTAGCATAGTTATGGGCAACATCAGGCCCAGAGGCCAAACCCAGACCTTCTAGGCTCCGACCTGACCCTTTGAGAGCCCTCAAATGCCCCCTGCCCTTTCCCAGACCGATTGTCCAGAGGTTTTACAGTTTTTCCCCATTCTAAAAGGCTAAAATGCTCCTCCTTCACTTCATTACCAGCAGCAAGGGAATGAAAGTATAATATAGTGGGAGGTTTTGTATTTTTGGCTTCAGACCTTTTGTCTGTTAACCTCATTCTCTTTGCCTTTGGCCTGTCCACTTCTGGAATATGCCCCAAAAGTTTCTCTGAAGTTGGATTCAACCCTGCCTGAAAGAGGTTCCTGACCCCAGATCCAGTTATGGCAGATCCATGTTCCAATCCTCCCTTCCCAATTTTGGTTTGCTCTGTACCTTATTTTTAATATATGCAGTAATAACAACTCTGGATGACAAGCAGGATCTCTTTTTTGAGGAAGAACAACCTTGTGGAAGATGATGCATGTTTTGACCACTGCATGCATCTCTGAAAATCAAAGCATCTTGTGTTTTAACCCTACCAATTGACGGCAGGAGGGGGGGGGCGATTCACACGTGAGTATGTAAAAAAGAGAAAAAAGTTCTCATTTAAAAGGTCCAAGCAGAATATTTTCTGAAGCTGTGTCATAGAAAGAGCCTCTTTCTTCTTAGGAAGTCCTAAGATCCCTGCCACCTAACTTGATGGAAAGCTTTTGTATTTATTGTTTGAAACCCACCCAGGGAGCTGTGCAGCTAATGGGGTGGGAATCTAATAAATAAATATTAGTATTTCAGCTGCCTAGTAGTTATGGTGTGCTATCGTCACAATGTGTTAAGAGTTTGCCACTGAAGTGGAGTTAGTTCTTTGTTAGTGCCATACTAAACATGCCAATGGCTCTTTGCTTCTAGAGAGCTGCCACATTTCGTCTGCTGTAATCCTGCTTCTAACTTGTAGGACCTCTTGACAACATGAAATTGAGGCCTGAATGTTTAAATATATAAAGTTTATTTCTTTCCCTTTACAATTCAGACTTAGAAGCTTAGCTATCCAAGGCAATGACTGTTTCTGAGTCTCACTGAGCATTTAAACCTCTGAAGAATGCACTTCACATCTGATTGTTTATACTTGACGTCAGGTGTTGACTGCTGTTAAGATCTCAGTCATACCCTTTAATTCACAAGCTGCAGTGTTCTTTGGCAATTGCATAATTAATCATGACTGGCAATGACATAATTCCTCTAAAGGAAAGAACTATTCTGGTTCATCATAACAACTTAAAATTGACAAATAACAAGTGTGCAATTGTTGTGCTATATCATGATTGCCTGGAAAGGTCATACATGTCAACGGAATTTAAGTCAGATGGCTTGTCCCAAAATGTATCTGGAAAGAATGATTTTTTTCTTATTCATCCTAGGCTGAATTTCAGTATTCTGTACATAGCTGAATACTCTAGGGTCACTTCCAGATAAAAACTTTACCATGTAATCATTCCGCCTCATTCATGGAAATTTGTGGGGGGTCCAGATGTTGCCATCCATTTGCAACAATCTCATGTTTTCCCACAGCTTCTTCCATTAAAAAAAAACAACAACTACAAAATATCCGTTAAGGTGGGAAAGAAGGAATAGCTATGCAACTGAGAGAGAACCCTCAAACTGGAAGCACCCTAAGTCAACTTCACTGTATCTGGAAATATATTTCAGCAATGTGTTTAGTGCTGGAGTGTAGAACCCTTTTTGTCCAAAGACAAGAATAAAAAAAGTAAAAGAAATGTAGGTGTCTGGAAGGTTTAATATGAGAGAATATCTGTAAGATAAATCATGCTATCTCAGACAAAAGGAAAATAAATCCACATGTCCTATGTAAGAATTCTGTGATATAACAAATTCTTTGCTGTAAGAATACATTCAGGGCAGTTAAAGTGGTTTACGCACTTACAGTAAACTAAGCTTGTACTTCTGTGCCACAATGGAGCCGACATTAGGCACCTCCTGCTCTAAACGCAAGAGGATGCCAGACATGACCTGAGGGACAGCACAGGTTCCAAAGCTTCACCAACCTGCTCATTGCTATCAGCAAAGGAGGGACTATCCCCGGGGCTTCCAAAAACATTTGCTTTAGGAAAGCAAAGAGGGCAGGTCTTTGGGAATGAGGCCTAGTGCTGCTATGCATCAGCAAGATGACACAATGCTAATATTTGTTCTCAGTTAGAATATATAATAATGTTTGAAAATTACAAGCAGGGGTTATTTTCCTAAGTACTGTATAGAAATGTAGCAAAAAGGCAACAGTTATAAAAAATAAAGGTTTTACTTGAGTTCTTAGGACTCATTTCCTCAGGTTTACTGTAAAAATTCCTCTATCCAGATATAGATTTAAAATTGCATTAAATGTGGTCTCCATGCCCTATCACCTGAATTCCACAAAGCAATATTTATAGCATATCTATATTACTGACAAAAGAAAAAAATGCAATGCTTTAAAATGTCAGTTTCATTTCTTAAAGTGCCTTATTTCCTTTGAGCTTTTAAACAGTCCTCTTTATATTTTAAAATGAGACAGAATAAAAGAATACTGACTTTATATGAAACTATGTTTTTAGAAAGCATCCATATTTACATAGGTTTTGGAGTGGGCCCCAACTGAAAATATCTGTAGAAAAAAAATACAAAACAAAAAATCCCAAAGCCAACCAGTAACACAGCAACTCAAAAGCAAAGTGTCAAAAGGAAAAAAAAAAACTTTTCAGAGGCTTTCAGCACTATCCCCTTGAGATCCAAGTGTAAACGGTTTTATCTCTGAAAAGGCATTTTACTTGAGACTTCACTAATCGGAACTGATTGCAGCCATACTCTAAAACAGAGACTGGGCTGTGGGTGGGTGTACCACCTTTTGACCTCTCTGGGAAATAAGAGTATCTATTTAGACAAGTTCAACTTTTGCATTGGGATAAACAGCTACCACATCATATCCTTCTGGTGGCTTAACCCTTTCCTTGGCATGCGTTTCACAGTACAGCTGTTCCTCAATGAAGAAGTAACCTCTTTGCTTCAGGTTGAGTCCGCAGTCATCACACATGAAACATTCTGGATGGTAGAGCTTGTCACGGGCTTTCACTATTGTGCCACTATCAGAGTGCAGGAAAGAAGATAAGATTAGTAATGGAAACAGTTAGGTTACAAATATTGACTGCATGTTGTGTTAGTGGCCTGCCTTTCGTGCATCCCATGGAAGAGAGAGCTGCACCTGCTCCCACCCCATTTCCCCTGCACAATCCATGCTGCTTCTCCTTCTACAGTAAATAATCTGCCTTAAAGTGTAATTTAGCATTGGCTTCACAGAGAGCAACCCACTTTCCCTTGCTCTTGCACTTGTATTTCAGGTAGGAACACCTCTCTTCCGGGGCAATGCCTGTGGGCCCCAGCCACATTTCGCAGCTTCATCTGCCTTGGAATCAAAAGCTGTGTGTGAAGTGCTACTTGAGATACAATAGTGAGCTTCCTTCTGTCATGGTGGGCCCTGTGCACGTCAGAATGACCAAAGCTTTGGATCAAGACAACAACACAGATTAATAACAAAGCCTTGAAAATGTTCAGCCATTCTACTCTGGTATTTTTGCCCTGTGTGTAATACTGCTTTATTGTAAACAATTTTGGCAAAATTTTACCGTGAAGCAGATGGCATGTTCATTGCTTAGTTTTTCCAAAGAGTACATTAAACATTGGGGAGTTTCTTGGGGGAGTTTCAAGTACTTACACAATTCCATTGCCACATCTGGTACACTGAGGGAGCATCTGTAAGCCAGATATGGATCCACCCAGTTTAGATACAGAAGTTTTAACATGTCTTGGACTAGTCAGTCGGTCATGTTTTTCACCTGGGAAGAATGTAAGACAATTCATTGGAGTTATCTATTTAAGGCCTATAGAATGTTCCTAATATGAAAATAACTTATCTAGTGAAATAATTTACTCTGAAACTCTATAGGGAAAGGTAGGCTGAAAGCGTTATCGTGGGATAGCCCTCTCAGATAAATTTCCATCTCCCTTGCCATAGGATAAATGAAGAAGTTCTAAAGTGGCACTGATGCTTCTTTATTTATTTCTTAGTAAACATGGCTAGGAAGGGGCTGTAAATGTGATGACAGAAGTGTTAGGTCAGAAGGTTCCATGTGATAAGAGCATATTTATTTGAAAAACGGTGGCATGACAATCCACATCGAAGCCGCATGTGAAATGGATCTGATTAAATGGATTAGAACTTGAACTTGACCTTTTGTGAAATGCTGATGTTAAAGAACTGATGGAGAAAGAAGGAATCGTGGTAAGAAAGTCTTGTTAAGCCATGTATGAAACAACTTAGTGTGATACACATGAAAAAGCTTAGACCTCTTGCTGAGCAAGGGAAATAAAGCCCAGCAACAGCACTGCTAAGTGCACTTTTATTAGCTGGGGAGATTTATATGCTTTATTGCATGTCATGGCTCAGGAAGACTGTTGAGGATCTGTAACGTAAGACAGCATGTTGGAGGTTTATTCTTTTTGGGGGTTAGGTTTTATTTCATGTGCATTTGGAACCAATTGAGGCAGGAGGGAACAGAAACAACAAACTTTAAATATGAGATATTAAAGCATCCTGTAATATTCACGTATGTGCATTTACATGCATGCCTAAGCCTTGTGTTGCCTTGCCACCTCATTTCACAGACACACACAACTTGCAGATATGCACATGTTATGACTGACATATGAGGGGGATTTTAATCAGAAGTGTGATATGCACATAACTGATGGATGAACAACCTCCATACCGAATTGGTGAAATAGTTACTCACAGACTACTCTAGCACGCAGAGTCCAAAATACAGACTTAGTTTTAATGATTGTTATTCTCAAAAGATACAGAAGAGAAAGATGGCTTGCTTATTATCCCCACCTGCTAGCACGTGGCGCAGTACACGTGTTCAAATAAGTTTAACAAACAAGAGATAAAGAGAGATGAGAACTGGGGAGATGAGTGTTTTTCAAATAAAAAGTGGGAGGTTACACTATGAAGATAGCTGTGCCGGAAATTACAAGGCAATGTAGCCAAGAAAGCTCAGTTTTGGTGGCAAGGGTGGAAATGGATAGATTTAGGAGAAAAAGAAGAGAAATAGAACAGAGGTATCATTACCTGTTTTAAGGGAAAGGGAAACTAAAGGACCAAATAAATGCACCTATTAAACTGATATATGCTCAGAAGCTCTGATTGAAAACCCTTCAAAATAGCCATTTACAACATTTAGGGGAAAGTAGAGAGAGAGATTCAGAAGTTGTGCAGGAATGAACTGCATTCATGGCTGTTTTTCTCCTTTGTTTCTGCAAGTCCCTGCCTCTCAAATTTATGTCCCTTAACTAGGCAGCTACATAACTTTGTTTAAAAAAAGACTGAACAATCCCAATCATTCTTTTCCTGCTTTGTGGTTTGAGGGCTCATCTTTCATGGTTGAGGGGCACCTACTGAGGTAACTCTTACATTTCTTTACAAATCCTGTTGGAAACCCTGCAGGAAATACATTTTATCAGTGATACAATTATTAAATTGTTACTGATTATTAAAAAGAAAAGGAAAAAAACCCTAGAACTTCTTAGACAAATTATTCTGTAGATGCCTTTTTTCAGTGTAACACCAACTTAAAAGGAGATTCTTAACATTTTAGAGATTATACCCTAGTGCTTCACAGACTTTGTATAAGAGTGCTGAGAGAACAGAAAGTTTGGTTTTGAAGCAACTGAAATAAAAATCAATTGGAGAAAAACGAACTAAAATCGGTCCATTTAAGTGCAAACACTGCATGTTGTATCATACCAGAAAAGTTCTCTCCCACCATATTACAAGCAAGATATTATTTTCAACCAGTCCAGCACCTTTTGGAATTCCTTGTATATAACTAGACTTGTGGCATATTTTCTTACAGTTTAGTGCTGTAGTGGCAGCAGTGACAAAAAGGCACAGGGGGAGCAAAATCTAAATAAATGTACGTATTTGACGTAGGCCCTGTTTTCAAGGTGTATGTACATTCACCAGTATTCCAGCCCAGCAGAACAAAAAAACAAACAAACAAAAAACTAGCTGTGAAATATTGACTGCAAAGATCAGCAGGAGAAGAAAGGAATGTATCTCTTGCGTCTGGCTCCATTTTTCCACTGTTGCGATTACAAGTTCTGGTGGTGGTAAGCAAGGTGGTTCATGGCATGGAAGACAATGACACTGCTGAGTTGCCGAAGGGAAGCCCCATCAACTGATGTCGCAGGGTACCAAACACATGGGGACTCGGCGGGGATGAACCACAGAGGCATGGAGCTGCGGAGTGGTGACCAGTGTGCACAGTGAGCGTGGAACAAGATGTCACCGCCCACACGAGGCACTGTGGACCAGTCAGCGCCTCCATGCCTCCCTCAAGCCTTCACAAGGTACAGATTCGGGAATCATTTCCCCAGTTTTCAAAGGGAGTAGCGTGGAGTTGCTGTCATGCCCTTAGCCAAACTTGCATGCAAAGAAAATGATGGATGCAGGTTATTAATAGTAGTGTGGTGCACAAAGAGTGGATCCATCCACCATGATTTAACAAGGTGAAAAGGAGTACTTTTAAAGCGGAATAAATTAGCTCTAAGAACCATTCAAATTAGAGATCTTGTTCTTAAACATTTTGTCTTTAACACACCTGCACATGTGTTAGAAAATGGGATGGCCTGGTGCCTACGCTGTACTCTTTTTTTGTGGCAGACCTCCTTATTTTCCCAGGCTTTTTAACCCTTCATTTTTGTTTTAAGACTGTTAGGGCATAATCCCATATCCTACCTGGAGAGTTACCATTATCTTATGCAGAGTGGGAAAACTGACTTCCCATCTTCTCACCTACAGAGGTTTTTGCCTGATTACCTGGAGTGCTTTGGAGGGGGAACGAGGGGGCAGGGGCCCTGGAGAGGCCTCAGGATAGCTCATATCCTGGTTTCTCCAATCTCTTGCCCTCTCCTCCCATTGGAATCGCTCCCTTTGCTCCTCTCCAAGGTCATGTTCCCAACCCAGTGAGCAGCTGGCACAATTACTTCCACACCATTGTGGCTGGGGGGCAAGCAGTCCAATTCAGAGCTCAGAGGTTGAGCACTCCACAAGGAGCTGCCATGTTTTCCTGGAATGATGCTATTTCCTAGCTATTTTGCAGTTAGCTGGAAGACTGGGAGTAGAGCTGCACTCTTGGCTCTGGCAGAGACCAAAAGACAGACAGACAGACAGACAGACAGACAGAGATACATTGCCTTCTCCAGCACTTAAGGTCCTCCTCCCGTGCACCATGCAGTTTTCAGTGGAACCCACTAAAAGTCCCAATGCATTCGTGTGCCTTCTTTATGAACTTGACTTCTCTCTCCCACCCATGATGCTCACCCAGCTGATCCACATCGCACCCTGCTGACCACCACTTTGCATTTGACTCTATTTGTGGCTATCAGATTTTTCAGTATGCTAAACTTTAAGTCACTCTGAATTTTAAGATAAAGCGGTATTCCTTTAAAAACACCTTAAAAGCTGGCATGTATTTTTTTTTTTTTTTACCATTCTCTCCAGCTTCCAACATGCCCTGTAGATACCGGAAGGATCCTGACTGCTTAGGTTCTGAAACGGGCTTTTCATAATCCTGCAGCATTTTGTATACATCTGAGTCCATGTCAATTCCATTTCTGTTTCTTGGTAGGGACCTTGAAGGGTCAGCACTATTAAAATACAAAAGATAAGCTGAGTAACATCTGCACACCAGAGAAGAAGCAAGTGAAGAACAGAGAAAGACAATCCCTTGTAAACTGAGGTTTTTAACATTTCCTAGTACTTTTGTTTCACTAAACATTGAATTTGGTCATTACAGTTCACCCATAAACAAATCCTATGTTTATTTTACTGGGAGTTCATTTAAAGCATTCCTCCTTCCCCTGCATTACGTTTTTTGCGCATACGTTACCTATTATGCAGAAAAAATGCACAGACTGTGAGGGCAAGCTGGAATACTCCCCACTCCACTTGCTACCGTGCAACAGGACTTAAGAGTGACCAATGAATATCTGTATTCCTGACAGGGCAGCTGCTGCAATTCATTATGAGTTGTTGTACCACACATGGATCATTTTTTAAAAAATGCATTAAATTAAATTACTGAAGGACTTGGGAGCCTTCCATCCATTGAAAAGTATCTGGCACTGGTGCCACTATCTGTTGTTGCCAAACATGGTCCCAAGTGTCCATGCTAAAAAATCTAAAACACTCTCATATAATCCAGTTTCCTTCTCAATTGGTTCACATTTTCTCAACTATCCATAATATATATTTTAGGAAAAGCCTCAAGGTTCAAACAATGTTAAAAAGCTAAATATAAATTATAACCATATGAGGCTTAAGAATCCAAACTTGCATCCAAGGCTGAGCTGAAATCCCATTTTGCTATTTCATTTGTGAGTGGTAAAATGATTGTGATCTCTGAAATTTGGGGGCTGAAACCAACAGTCATGGGCATTACCCGCAGAACCATTCCAGCAGCATCAGCAAAACCCCCGAAGTAACACTCCGATCTGGACATGGAACATTACAACCCACCATAGGCAGGTAGCCATGGAGGACTGTGGTCTCATCTAAACCAAAAACAGCATGGGATGGCTTGTTTTTCAGTAACAAATAACAGATCCATGGTTTCTAGGGTTGTTCGTGCCCATGATGGATTGTTGCATCACCCAAACCCAGGGGAATGATTTCTCTTATGGGTCATGCCAATCAGCTACAAAGCGGCTGAGAAAGAGCAACGTCTAGCCATGAAAGTGAAAGGAAGTATAATTGCCTTGCTATCTATTTGTGCTACTGTGCTACATGGCAGTGTCACCTAGCGGTTATGTGGTGTGGAAGTAGGAAAGCAAATGCTCTTTGTATGGTGCTTGGATCTCGGTTCTGGGATGAAACTGAAAATGGACACAATGCATTAACAGCTGTTTAACAGCCTTGGAAGAAAGGCTCTTATTTATCTTATATTTGGCATGGCAATGTCCACAAGTATGAGCCTGAACCAGCTGAGATATTGTAGTGTTTTACATTGTGAATGTGAGTAGCTTGGAAAGATATGCACACATGCATACCTATGTCTTTGGATATGGCTGTTTATATACTTGACCTATGGTTGAGATACATTTGGTTAATTCTGATATTGAATGATAAACAATACATTCAAATATATGTTCTTTGTGTAACATATTAATTGCATATTTTAGTCTATAGAGATAAATGTTGCATTATTAGGCTTTTCAATATTGTACAAGCTTATCTGTTTGCTTATTCTAATTCATGAGTTGTTGTTGATGTTTTTTATTGGTCTGGAGTTGGGATGTATGTCCTGTTTGGTTTGATCAAGTATCTAAGACTACAGTTCTACCTGGCAGCACGTATGATTTGAGCTTTAGCACCTTGAAAATTGTGGTGTGTGTGCTAAACATATGATTTGTCTTATCTCTGTGAGCTCTCCATTTCCCTGATTCACACAAAGTGCTGTTTGTGTGGTGCTAGGTGTTCAGCACTCCTGTAGTTGGTCCCCAGTAGGTTTTTGTTTCAAACCTGACTATTCAGTTATTACAAAAATGTCTTCTGCCATTTAAAAATAGATTCCCTATGCCGGTTTTTTAAAATGTGAAAATTTATCATGCTGATTGCAATTCTACACGGACCCATATGAACATATGCACAATGATCTAGTATGATTCTTATCTTTTGGCAAGTTTCCTTTAAGAATGAGGTTTTGACATGCTACTTTAGCAGTTCTAACACAGCCTTCCTTACTTGCATATCCTCCAGATGTTCTGGACTTCTACTCCCACCATGGCATGGTCAGAAATGGTAGGAGTTGAAATCCAAAATATATGGAGGGCACCATTATTATAACAGGTTAAGCAGGTTGCTTCTTTTAAGCAATACATGGAAGTACTTGCAAATGTGGGTCCTTTTGAGATTTTTAAGTTGGGGGGCACTAGTAACATGGTATGTCTTCAGTATGTGGGCAGATCAGCATCTTTGCTACTGTTTTTCCAAAGGAAATGAATGACAGCTTTGGTGCACATGAGACAGAGAGAAGAAAAGAGTGAGGAGTTTTTTATTGGGAAAAGAGAGCATGAATGGTTAATGTCTCTGTTCTCCTCCCCTTGACCCAGTGGCAGTTATTTGGAAAAGCATCTCCACTGTGATGTCTAGTTAGGCTCCCTTACCTTGGGGAAGATGTGAAATGGAGGCCACTCATTTGTGAAGCTAAACTGGAATCTGCATTGTTGTTTGTGTACAGCCGTGCAGGGTTATTGTACTGCGAGCTGGATATCTGCTTGTTGTCTGTTGGACTTCCTCCAGGTGAAAAGGTTGTTGGTCTTCTGTTTGGAACAGGCCCATTATCCTAAACAGAGAAAGAAACAGAAGTTTTGTAGCACAGCTTGCTGTTGCCAAAGTTAAACAACGTCTTCTGTTAAATGTCACTCCTGTAACAGTAGTCTGTGTGTAGCCTCTCGTCTCAGCTGCTCACAAAACTTCTTTAAATTATGTAGTCTGCTAGATAAAGAACCAATGGAGAAAAAAATGAAAATACAGGCTTGGGTTGAGGTATACAGGAAATGTATAATGTTGAATGTCTCCCACTCTTTGTTCAAATTGTGCTGCATTTAATTTAGGCTTTGACTGCAGTAAGTTTTCAAGTTTTTTGTAGCATGTGTCTTAGTCATTAACAAGACCACCGGGAAGGCTCCTCCATCTTAAATTCTAGCTGGTCTTATTGTGGGACACTCCATAGAATCTCAGAACAGTAGAGCTGGAAGGGACCAGAAGGCCATTGGGTCCGACCTCCTGCTCAGTTCAGGACTCCAAATTGAATAATCCCACTCAGAGGGCTGTCCAGTTGCATCAGTCTTGTGCTGTTGCACAACATGAACTACATCCCCTCAGAACTGACTGAAGGACCGGAAAGAACTTCTTCAGCTCACTTCTCCCCTTCCTTTTCGGAATGTTCTGGTTTCCTCTCCTCCGTCCACCCATCTCAATGGCAAATGCCAGTTGTCCGTGCTCACCAACCTGGGGCATGCCTGCTCTCCTGTTCCAGATCTCACTGGCTGCAGAAGCTGGCCACCACATTCCCTGCCCCACAGGGCCAGACTGGTGGCCCGAGGAAGGGTGAGCAGGAAGGAAGACAGTCGTCCTGGCTTGCTTTGCAACCCAGGCTCTGATTTAGCATGGAGTGACCACTGGCAGGAGGTGAGCCACCTGCTGCTGAACCCCACCCAGTAAAGCCCAAAATGGGAGAGAAAGGAATCCTCTGCTGGAAGGTGAGCTCCCTTCTATCACTTCTGTCATGCAGAAACTCTAGCATAAGTCAGAAATAATAAACTGCACTATAGGAAGGTTTGTACCTATGTCTATGGATGGACAGTTAGAACTATAGTGGTTTAATAAGTATGAAAGAAGAAATGTCATTTGATTAATTTACACATATAGTTTCTTGTCACAAATGCTAATTTTCAGCCAGGAAAAAGGTGCACTGAGAGCATCTTGCCCCAAAGAAATCCCAGCATACGGAAACACAACACAATGCACGCACAAAAATAAGGCAGAGCCAGCTAGGGGAAATTGTTGCTTTTATTTTCTATTTTATAGCTGCTCAGCAATCCCAGTTAGTCTAAGAATCCTCTACATCTCCTTGGCGGGATGATGAAGAAAGCATCCCTTGACATCCTACATGTTTCTTTAGCTTCCTTTTGTCTCCTTTTTGTTTTAATAACACAGAGAGTCATATTCTCCAGAGTGACATTTTATCCTAGGCATTTTGTAAACCACTTAGTATTAAACAAAATGATTTCTAAATCTGCACTGAAGTATTGTCTCCAAGCTTTCTAGAGGATATAAAACTTTACTGATGGGATGAGTTAGCATCAGGATGTTGAAATTCTTTTGACTGCAGCTCAAATATGCCATTTCTGACATATTTATCTATAAAGAACTGCTATCCTTGTTAAAACTACCTGTTTTCCCAGGGATGTTTTTTGTATGGCTGGATCATTTGAACATCAAAAAGCAAAGCCTTGGCAGACAGAAAAGCAGTAATTCCTCCAGGCAGATGTGGCTAGCAATTTTATATCATGTCTGGCAAAAGTGTCACACAGCTGTTTTTTTGGAGCATGCCCTCCTCACTGTGACACTTTTTAAGAGCTGAAATACTGATTAAAAGAAAGAAAGAGTTTTTAAAAGAAATTGGGATCACATTTCTGCTGATTTAGTTTGGAACTGAGCTGAAATTACTGTGACTTTCAAGGAGTCCATCAGAAGCAGCCACCTGTAATGAACAACAGTGTGCAGCAGCAAGCTGGGTGAAATCACCCAATTGCTACTTCTTTAAAGCGGCTATTTAAAATCCACATACACTTTTTACTGTTAGATGTTTTGTCACTGTTTTATTGGTCTTAAGATAATTACTCTGACATTGAAGAGCTGGGTTACAAATACTCTTAAAATAAATACGTAGATGGATAGATAAATCTCACAAAGATATTTGCCTCTCACAAACAGCTGCCATAAGCAGTGACATTAAAAAGTATTAATTTTGCTATCAGGCTCAGTGGAAGTAACTCTGAAGAGGGCAATAAGGAAAAGCAGGGTGCCTATGAGAACTTGGAGGTGTGGGTTTCTGTCTCTCATTTGGCCTCTTCCATCAGAGGAGTCCAGGATCCTTTGGTCTTTGGCTACCATTGTCCTGATTTTTAAACTCATCACTATCTTTTGGTGGTTCTCATCTGACCTAACTCCATCTGTATATCTATCCTTTCCTCTGCCCATGTAATTTTTCAGAGAACAGGGATGTGGAGGCAGTGTGGTGCAGTGGTTAAGAGCATGGGACTGGGACTCAGACGATCTGGGTTCTAGTCCTCACTCAGCCATGGAGCCAACTGGGTGACTTTGGGCCAGTCACAGCCTCTCAGCCCAACCTACCTCACAGGGTTGTTGTTGTGGGGATAAGATGGAGGAGGAGAATGATGTAAGCTGCCTCGAGCCCTTTGTAGGAAAAAGGCAGGATATAAATTGAAAAATAAATAAATAAATGTGGGCTGGAAAGAGTTTGCAAATTTCTGACTGGTTTCTGATTATGGCCAAATGCAAAGCTTTGTACACAACAGCAACAACAAAATGGTAAGTTTTTCAATTGCTTTGGATATCAAGATAGGCAAATACCAATTTCCTATTAAAAATGAGGTTATTTTCAGACTTTAGACAGCTCCCCTCATTAAAGCAGGTATTAAAATAATCTTCAGTAGCACTGGTTACATAGCCTTTGCTGAAATTTCTAAACTCTGCATACAGATTTATTTTCCTGAAGAAAACCTTCTTGATCTGTTACCGTATTTCCTACTGAGTCATGTCAGCTAGCATACAAGGTCTTTATAATTGTAAAAGCTTTGACAGGTATTTTGCTTTCCAAAGGAGAGTTACCATTTTTGATTTGATCAACTGTCTTGTTTCCCTTTTTTCCTCCTCTTGCCTAAATACTGACCCTGTGATGCTTGATAATGCAAACATAAGATTCGTTTATCTTTAGGCCCTGTATAATTTTTAAAATATCCTGTTTCTTTAAAAGGTAACTTAATGGTATTGCCAACCAATACTCATAACTGCGAACTCAGCAGTACAGTTGTAGAAAATGCAGTACAGAATTTGTAACCTGCTGAAAGAGTTCTGTTGGACTACTTAGCTGAGGTATACAGATGTAATAATAAATAAATAATACAGTATGAAACAATCAAAACCTGCTCTGGTTGTGGTACACAAAAGGCAAACAGCCTCTACTAATAGCAAAGACATGTGCCTTAAGAGTGAAGGCCATGACAAAGATGTTAGTACAAAACAGATCTGGTTCTGTATTTTTGGCTAATTTGAATGGAAAGAAATTAGAGCAGGCCCTTCCTCTGGCATCGTAAAGATCAGGAGAACTGGGATGCTTCCACTTCCCTTTTTTTACTGCCTCCAAGGCTCTCCAGGACTGTTACAAGTCCACTGCTGAAAAGTCTACTTTCTAGCCATTTGGTCAGACATGTTGCACTTCCTGAAGTGTGGCTGAAAAGAACCAACCCATCTATGGAACCAAACCTTCTCTAGAACATACATTTTCTTCATGGGCAGCAGGCTTATGTCATTGATAGGCATGCTCAGGCACCTGCTAAGAACCTACACCCCAGCAGGGGCCCACTGAAAAGAACCCCCTGATTTTGTTCCTCTTCTTCATCACTGCAACCTTCTTGTTCTCCCATCCCTTGGTCTTGCCCAGGTAAGGGGGATAGTGAGAAGGAGGAACAGCAGAGACCACTGCCTACGTGCTCACTGGCTCCCTCTGCCTGTCAGACAAGGAAGTGGTCACAATGATAACGGGCATGAGCAGTAACAGTTGGTGATGATATCAGTGAGAATCCGAGGGACAGTGCCTATGGACAGTGTCTTGCCCAAAGATCCTCAAAACTTGGAGCTGACACAGATTGCCAGTTTGAAGCCTGTTCTAGTTCAGATCCCCACAACCTGATTACACTAGTATATATTAGTAGAAGTACGGGGAAAAGAATAATATAGGGAGAGTGTATAAAGAATATATAGATCTATTATAGACAGTACTTTTTTTGTAAGAAAAATGGTGCCAGAACTCATGAAATTATTTACCTTTCGCACACAGTCAATCACTGTACACACACCCACACGTCAGTTGTGTAATGAAACATAATGGTTGCTGTTCACAGTAAGCACTCAGCGTGCGACCACACAACCAATCACAAGCTGAGCAGCGCCATCACAACCAGCGCGGATGAAGTACGCATGCATCGGATTCGACACACAAGCAGCCCGCATGCACTATTTTAATGATTTTGCCGCCAACCTGCTACACTTGACAGGGCGATTCAAATGTGGACCAAACATCAAATTATCAAAAGTTACTTTTAAAACTTGGAAAATCTGTTGAAAAAAAGTGCCGGAACTCCGTTCCGGTGCGTTCTATGACCAAAAAAGCACTGATTATAGATAAACTCTCTCTCTCTCTCTATATATATATATATGTGTGTGTGTGTGTGTGTGTGTGTGTGAGAGAGAGAGAGAGAGAGAGAGAGAGAGAGAGAGAGAGAGAGAGAATAATAATGAATGGGATGGTGTAAACTGGTGACCTGCAACATCAGGGGCTTGGACTTAATGGCTTTCTTGGTCCCTTCCAGCGCTATTATTCTATGAATATGATTTTGGCAGCTTTACTGAGCTTTTCCCGCTCCACATAGGCTGCAAGAGAAATTGCTTAAATTTTATCTTGAGTTAAAGGGTGAGATATTTCTCAAGGAAATTCAGTCTGCTATTGGGGGGTAAAATACCTACGATTTTCTGAAC